AATTCTTCCCTTCTCCATAGTTCTGACAGGTAAACTATTCCTTGCTTATAGTATCACCCTTTAATATCTAAATCATGTTTTGACTTTTTTCATAACAACACGGTGACTACAACATTGCAAACATTGCAACATTGCAAAGAAAAATAACTGTGAAAGGCTTAAGGAAGCCAACAGCATTTATTAAGTTCCTACTATGTGCTAGACCCTATGCTAAGTGCTTTGCAAAATTTGATCCTCACCATAGAATCTGGTAGGTAGGTAGTACTATTATCCTCTTTTTACCGTTGAGGAAAATGAGAAAGGCAGAGGTTAAGCAACTTGCTTGGGGTCATACATCTAGTAAGTGTCGAAGCCTATAGTGAACACAGATCTTCATTACTCCAGGCCGGGTGCCACCTTGCTGCTTAAGAACTGTGACCAATGCAGTGACCAATGATGGTGCCACAAGATGAGCAGGAATCATATTTCCTACCTCCTCTCAGAGGTGAACTAGAAACACAAAATGAGACATTCATTTAGGACAGCCAGTTTGTGAGTTTGTTTTTCACATTCATACTTATTTGTTGCAAGAGAAGGTATAAATCCTCCCCATCCCTTTCACTGATGTGGGTGTTTAGGGAAATTAGGGGAGCAGAGATAATGATAATCAAGTAGTGAATAATTCTTTTCTCCCTCAGGGTTCTCAGTGCACTCCTGAGGGACTGAGCTTGTCTTTCAATCTTTCTCTTTCTTTCTTTCTTTCTTTCTTTCTTTCTTTCTTTCTTTCTTTCTTTCTTCTTTCTTCTTTCTCTCTCTCTCTCTCTCTCTCTCTCTCTCTCTCTCTCTCTCTCTCTCTTTCTTTCTTTCCTTTCTTCCTTTAATTTATGGAATAAAACAAGTATTTCCATAACATACTGCAATAAAAAAAGATGATTGTATATGAAACTGCAAGTCTCCTATGCACAACTTGCTTTTTTTTCAAATATACAACAAAAGTATCATGAAATTTCTTTTTTTTTTAAAATTATCTTCCCTCCCTTCCTCCCTCCCTGGAGATGGCTACCATTAGACACAAATAGGTGTATATATACATATATATACACAGTTATTTTATATATACCTCTATTTATCAGTTCTTTCTCTGAATGCATGTAGTGCCTTTCTTCATATGTCCTTTATAGGTAATTTGTGTATTTGTAATAGACAAAATAATTTCTTTGCTCAAAATTGTTAATGCCCCAGTTCCATTTACCCCATTAACAAATATCAGCTTTTATTAAGGGATATTTACTTCACTGAAATGGCAAAAATAGAAGTATAAACATTTCCCCCTTCATTCTCTCCTATACTATTTAAATCTCTGTGAATGGGAGAGTGCTCAAATTTAATGCAATTACAATTTAGCATTGTTCCCACCCAGATCACGTCCAAATTCAGCTACTCTCTGGGGAGAAGGGTGGGAGACAAGAAACAGTCATCAGAATAACTGGATATTTTTTAGTACAGCTCCTGCTTAAATCAATGAAAACAAAGATTAAATAAAAGTAAACAAAAGTGAAATTAGTACAGCAAATATTCTCTGACTGATAATGGCGGTTTAAGTGGTAAACACAAGGGGTCTAAGTTGAGTTGGGTCATTCAGTGCAGGTGCAATCTGTCAACAGGTATAGGCTCATGACATAGATGACTTGTGTCATGGAATGCTGTTTGCTACGTTTCAATGTGAAATATATGAATTCAAAGTTAAATAATCTGTGTAGAAGTTAAAAATATCATGTTGTCTATTATATTTCTCAGTGTCATTCATTTTGCTAAGTATGATATAGTAGGCTGGTTTAAAGTGCATCTTAGAAAAATGGAAAGAACTCAAGAAGCGTTCTTATTAACAATCACTTGAAATTTTCAACAAATGTAAATTTAATTGTCTTAAATTTTAAAAATTGCTCCTAAAGTTTTAAGTCAAATAATATCCCCTAACAATGGATAAATACATAACAAGTTTTGTAAAAAAATAAAATAAATCCATTGGAACAGCTGAAACTAATAAAGAAAAGACAATAGAAACAGTTTGAGTAATGGAAATATAGAAACACAAAACAAAAAAAAATCCAAATCCAGGAAATAAGATCCATATTATCACTGGTATTTACGAGTACTGTTATTGATAGAAAAGACTGTTATGGTCACTATGTAAAATGCTTTAGCTGCAGATAGTATAAAGCCTAATAAATTGAAATGATATCTTGAAAATGTTTATGTTAGCAAAGAACATGTTTACAAAGAAAATGTTTACATTAGCAAGGCAAGATAATTTAAAAGAGAAAATAAGATACTTCTAACAAGCAAAACCAAACATTTTTTGAAAAAAAAAACCCTTATCTGTGACTTTAAAAATAGTTGATTTTATCATATAAGGTTGCTTGCCAATTTGCTGTATGTAAAAAAGTTCATTCAATAGGAGAAACTTTGTGTAGCAATTTGTATGGATGGGACAGTGCTTCACAAATTATATGCAAAGCAGTTTTGAATTGTTCCACTTGCAAATAGTATGAAAATCTTTATGATTAATCCTTTGAGAGGCTAAAATCTTCCTATTACAGGGAGATGAATTCTTGTGGAAGATCCAATAGATTGCTAGTTTGATTTCCTGTGTACAATGTGTAGCTAAAGTCGATGTTAAAAGAAGATTTGTTACATATTGCAGTCTTGTTATCCATGCCACATCATGAGAAAATTTCATATAATATATTCAATATAATTTTTCCCTCCTGGAAACGCTATATTGTGGGAAAATTGCTTTGGACTGCCCTGACAAGGCTCAAATAATGTCAGGATAATATATGTCTATAGTGTAAAACATGGCCTCTCTTGCAATTTGGATACTGGGAAAGATTCATAGATAATCATTTGTATCAAGAAATATGAATAGCTATATACAATTTTTCAAGTTGTTACAAGAGAAATCGGCTTTGTTTTTAGAACTCCAGGCTCTTTTCAAAAGAAGCCTCTTTGCAAACGTGTGTGATAACATGGAAGCAGAGCTTAGTGCAATTACATATTATTGTGAAGCATGCAGACTTTCTCATGATAAAGTACCTCAAAAGAGTATTTGAAAATAGTTCAAAGAAAAAAATTGACATTTTTCTAATCAAGGATAGGTAAGATGAAGCAAATCCATTTTTATACAAACATTTTTCCTTGGAACTTGTATATGTGGTGTATGTTTTTAAGGAGAAAAATGGTTATTCTAAATAAATAACTCCAAGGTCCTAATTTCCTACCCTATCTGTCCTGTAAATGAAATAATAGAAAGTTGAAGATCTTCTTATTTATCACATCCTACAGAAGTGATCTTCACTTTATTTTTATAACCTAGATATTCTAAATGTGAATGAAGAAGGAACTAAGTTACCATGGACAAATATGATATATTTAGTCTTCCTCTGAATAAGAACAGTTTATAGATATCTTGTACCATATTTTAGCAATGTTATGATGATAAAATGAGTGCACCTTTCATAGAAACAGTAACATTATTATTAGTGTTATTGTTTTTAGTTATAAATATGAAAATTATGAATGATGAGTAAAACATATATCACATTTATTTGATATATTTGCTGTTATAAATTTTTAATTTTATTTAAGTATGAGCTAAGTCATTTCATAAATTGTTTTATGAAAGTAGAATGTGTGACAATTTTTTTAAAGAAGGTGGGCTGTTATCACATCAAGTTTGAAAAAAATCCTGGTGTAAAGTATGGAGGAGAGGAGAAGAGAATGCTTATGACAGAAGTTATTAGCCTTTTCAGTAGAGTAGAAGCTGAATTAATCTGCTGAAGGATAGGGAAATAGAGATAGAGTTTGTGACTTGAAAGAAGAAAATGTTGAATTGGCCACTTTAGGGAGTATGTAATGGAAGCAGATAGTCACAAAAGGTTGCTTTGTAGAAGCAAAGTCTCAACTGAAGTTAGATAGGATGAATTTGTAGGTACCAAATCAGTATGGTTTCACAACTCTCTCCAACACTTCTAGGCGGCTCATCAATAGGAACAGATGGTACAAGTGACCTAGGTTTGGGGATTAGCTGGATGCGAATAGTGGAGGAATCTGAGGGTAAGGGACTCAAATACAGAGAAGCGTGTATTGTTGAAATGGCTGACTATGAAGTCCAGAATATCAACATAGCCAGAATAGGAGTGATAAACTAATATAATAGTAGGAAATCAATGGATTCAGACCCTCCCTATGAGGGCCAAGAGTAGGGTCAAAAAGTTTGAGTTGGTGGGAGAAGAGGAAGTATAGCAGATTTTGATGAGTGGCATTAGAAATTCAGAGTTCATATCTTGGAGATGGGACAATTTTGTTTGATAGTGAAGCCTAAGGTTTATCCTCCCCTGTGAATGGATAATGTAGAAGGTAAATGAAAATCCTAGGAACTGAAGTTTGTAAACTGAGAGACGAGGGTGTTAGGAGCATTATAATTGTGAATATTAAAGTTATTGAGAATGATGGTTGAGGTTGGGATAGAAAGGAATCCTGTAAACCAGGTGCCAGTTCATTGAGGAAAGCCTGGAAGTAGGGAAGTGCCAGCAGCAAGATTCAGAACTGGGTATTATAATAGTATATACTAAGGAGAGGTTGTGAGCTATAGTGGAGAAATAAAGGTCTGGAAATGTCATTGGGAACAAAGAATATGTCAGCTTCTTCTGTTCGTCTTCTGAATTCAGGGAAATTGAAAGAAGGAGTTTTCAGTGGTAGATAGGGTGATCTGTAATGGGTATATGGTATCTTCAGAAAAAATCAGGGTGTCACTTTATACTAGGAGATAAAAACAGTTCATAGATTGTGGGACATCTCTTTTGCTGAGCAGTTGATGATCTACATTAGTAGAGGAAGTTTCCTCACTAAAGATTTCCCTTTACTGATGAAATAGTAGATCAAAAGAAAAATAAAATTATTGAAAAACAAAGTAAAATTATTACCTTACTTACCATCTTATTGATATATTCTTTGAATAGTTACTCACGAATGCCCACGAAAAGGACGGACTATCTGCCTCTCCTTGTATGAACTCAGATTCTTATCACAACTCATAAAACCTCTGTTAAAATTGGAAAAGGAAGTTCAAGACCTTTCCCAAGAACTGCTCTTGCTGCCCAGGATATCCAGACATGCTTCAGGTAAGGTGATTTTTTAAATATATATACCCATAGTCTATATCTTCCCCCCCTCCTCCTCTTGCCAACATGTTGGTATATGAGCATCATGATTTTGTAATCATGATTTCAAAATGTTCTGGAGTTATCAGAACAATACTGATTTTGGAATACCTTTTCATCTTTGTAAAAGTCAATCTTGATAATTCTTAGACAAGACGCCTATAAACACTAAATCATTTAGAAGAAGCATGGAATTATGAAAGGGGCATTTGATTGAGAATCAAGAGCCTTGGATACTGGTCCTAGATCCTAGGTCATATCAAGTGATTCTATGATCTTGAGTAATCATTCACCTTCTTTTGTTTTTAGCTTCCTTATCTATTAAATGAGCAAATTGGATTACAGATCTTTCATATCTAAGATTAACTATAGCCCTAAAATTGCCATTGTTATTTAGACTAAAATAATAATGTTAGTAAAAAGATGTGTTTTTTTAAAAAAAGGCCCTCTAATAAAGTCTTTTTATGATACTTCATTGTACAAAACAGGAATGTAAATTACTACAAATTGGAAAGGCTTTGTGTATGGGCCTGTGTGTATGCTGATGTATATACCTATGTTCTGAGGACTAGGCTGCCTAAATTCAAAAAGGATCATCACTAGATTGGCTTGAGTCCATAGCAGGTCTGGAAGACATTCTACAATATTTTGAAGGGGCTGTGTGATGAGATTCATGACGTAAGAAGTGAAAAGTAAAAAGATATGTGACAATGACTTCTTCAGTTCTTAACACTAGAGGCAATATGATGTGATGACAAGAGGTGATGCAGAGTCAAGAAGTCTTGGGTTCAAGTCCTGATTCTTCTACAATATATTGATTTATGACCTTGGGCTAATCACTTAACCTCACTGTGTGCTAGCTAATTCTCTAAAACTATAAATTGCAGCTGACGTGTTGATTTTCATTAGTGGAGGCTGTTCTCCACTAGAAGCTCTCTACATTGATGAAATCACAGATGCAATCCAAATTCTTAACAAATCCCTTGTCAGGAACATGATGTGATTAGGTGTTTGAATAACATTCTATCAAAATTTGAAATGCAAAAGAGAAATATTTCATATTGTTCTTTTTGTAGAAATAGATTTGCATATTAATTATAATAAAATACCTTACGTTAAAATTATAACAAAATACTTTTTTGCAGATTACTGTTTTGAGATATTATGTAAAATTTCTGAAAATAGTGCCAACTTTCAGAGAACTTAGATAATAAAGTTTTAGAGCTTGAAGAGACTTTAGAGCTCATCTACTTAAATTATTTTATTTTCAGCCCAGAGAATGAAAATGCCTTACCTTAAGTCATTGTACTGATAGCTATAACAAAAGCCAGTCCTTTAACTTCACATTTTGTCTACCCGGCAAAATTAAGAGCAGAAATACAAATTTATGTGGTGGATTCCATCAGTGTTGACAACCATTCTGGAAAAAAATAGTAATTGTATGACTAGGTCCCAACTAGTGCAGCTGATGAATTCTCTGATGTTAGTTGCATGGATTTGAATTCACACTGTTCTAAGATAAAATTATATAAAATATGGTGATTGGTTCTAGCTCAAAGGAAGTATGTAGTGTGTATTCAAATAACATAACCGTTGCAAAGGATTTATTATTTACACTAACCTGGACCTAGGTATACTTACACTTTGATAAGATTTTGTGTTTTTAATGTAATTATGTAACTGCTTCAAATTAGTTTTCTACATTGCCTATTCAAATATATCCTTATTAGCATGATTAATTTTTTTTAAGAACAACTTTAACAAGCCTTTGTAAATTTCATTGAAGGATATGCATCACAGTCAGAGAACTTGAACATGTAATGTAGAATTTAAGTGCACCCTAAAGATAGAAGAGAGGTCACGTGGCACTTGTTTTATGCTACAGAAAGCTTTCCAAAGCTGGGAATCAGCAATGGGAGGGAGGTGCAGGTAGATAACAGGTTTCTGAAGCTTACAAGTAAATAAAGGGGAAAAGAATAGCTACATAAGAGAAGAAATGTAGTCCATAAAGATAATGAAATTGAGAAAACTAGATTTATTAGAAGTCAATGGGAAAACTTTAAAAGAATCTTTCTTTTGGGGGAGTAACATGGTCAAGGATAGAGGGAGTCCCAAAAAGAAAGGGATGACATATTCTTCCTTTGTCATAACTAACAGTGTTGCACTTTGGTATTTTTAAGTAGCTAAAATTTTGACTTTGTGTATACTATATGTGATACAGTTCCCAAATCGTAACTTATAGAGTATATTCAAGGCTTTTGGTATCCCTGACCCAGAACCTGGAGACCTGTGGACAGCTGTGGGGATTTCCTGGGGATATAGTTCCAGAATTAGGGTGAATCTGGAATAAGGGTGAGCCCAGTCCTATATGTAGTTTTCCTATACTAACTGTAGTTCAGATCATTAGGGTATGGGAATAATTTTTCAGCATTCTTGCCCTGAAAGTTTAAACCTGCTTGAAAATAGTCTAAACACAAAACTAACCTTCCTGATGCACACTTCTGACCTTGTCTTTCAGTTGCTTAAAAGGTTTTCATAACTTCCCATTGCCTACTGAATAGCATTTACGTTTCCTAAACTGGCATTCAAAGCCTCCACACTTTAATATACTTTATACACTAGTCAGATTGGAGTATTTGCTTTTCCCCAAGCACAATCCTCATTTTCTCCCTTTGTGAACGTTTGGAGTGTTCTCATTTCTATCTGTTGAAATCCTATCTACTCTTTAAACTGGGTTAAAACTAGGTGAAATGCCTTCCTTAATCCACTGAGACAAAACTGACATCTCCTTCCTTTGATATCTCAATTGTACATTGTATCTCACCTATGTAGTCATCATAAGATATTTTATTGTATATGTTTTATTTGCCCTACTGGATTGTAAAATTTTTGGATGTCGGACCATGTCTTATTTGCTGTTTTACTTCTTCACTTCTTGGAACAGCTCCTTGCATATAGTGATTAATTAATAAATGGTTATTGAATTCAGTGAAAACTAGAATGACCTCTGGGAAATATTAAAATGAAGCAAAATTGAATTGAAAAAAGCTAGGACCAAGGTCTTTGCTCTAGAACTAAAAAGGCTCAGGTCCATTTTATAGAAAGCAAAGAGTAGTCAGAACTGGTTTGAGGCAGGGTATTTAGAAATCTTATATTAAGAGCAGACCTTAAAACCCATCAGCTTGGCAAAGATGACAAAAAAAAGAAAATTGTAAATATTGGAGAGGTTGTGAGAAAATAGACACATTGATGAACTATTGGTGGATCTGTGAATTGGGAACTATTCTAGAAAGCAATTTGGAATTATACACTTGAAGTTACTAAATGGGGCATGTCCTTTGACCTACCTATAGCAGTACTAGGCCTGTGCCCAAAAGCGATCAAAGGAAGAGGAAAATGTCCTACATGTGTACAAAAAATATTTATAGCAGTTCTTTTTGTGGTAGCAAAAAATTGGAAGCGAAATAGACACCCATCAATCAGGGAATGGCTGAATGGATGTGGTATATCAATGAAATGGAATATTATTTTACTGTATTTACTGTATTATTTTACTGTAAGAATTTTTTTTCAAAAAGGTGATTTCAAGGAGTCATGGAAAGATTTGTATGAACTGATGCAGAATGAAATGAGCAGAACCAGAACAATTTATACCATAACATCAGTATATAAAATGAACGCTTTTGAAGACTTTTACAAACTGATGAAGAATGAAATGAACAGAAATAGTAGACCAATCTATATCATAACAATAGCAACACTGTAAAAACAAACAACTTTGAAAGCTGTAAGAACTCTGATCAATGCAATAACCAACCATGATTCCAGAGGACTGATGATGAAGCATATTGCCCCCTTCCTAACAGAAAGATGATAGACACATTTTGGGGATATAACCAATTGCAGAATTTGTTTTGCTTTACTATGTATATTTGTTAACAAGGAATTTTTTTTGGTTTATTTTGTTTTAGTTTTTACTGGGTGGTTAGGTATGAGGAAAAGAAAATAAATTTCTGCTAATTAAAAATGAAATATAATTTAAAAAGTAAAAGCTCAGCAAAGAAAATATATTACTATTTCATAATATAGCATACATATATATGTGTATGTACATTATATTTATTGTTATACCACATTAAGTCTCATCATCTGAACATTTCATCAGGTAACTATGGCAGATGGAAACAATTTCAATAGTAGGGTTGGAATTCTCCATTTTACAAATGCAGTTAAACCTCAGAAGATGTAATTATTGGAAAACATTTTAAAGTGCAGAACTTTAAAGTGTCCTAACGAGAACTATCTGGGCACAAAAACATCTCTTAGTGATAATCTGTATTCCCTATTGCAGAAATTTCTATACTTTATATTGAAATCAACATGATTCAGCTTGACACAACTATATGTAAATGTCTACCTGAGGAGAATCATCCTTAGGGAAATTGCCAAGAAAATCGTAACTTTTCCATTCATTATATTTTTGTGAAATCCATTTTTACCACTAAAGAATAGATTTCCAATAAAGAGAGAAAAGAAGACTCAGAAGAATGAGTTTTATAAATTTCCCATTTGAAATAGTGCTTTTGATGGAAGGAAATCCTGTGTGTGATTTACAACAAGCAGATTCAGGGTCATTCTGGTTTATTGAATATTCTTTTGTTAATGATTTTTTTGCTAATAAGGAACTTAGAAGTGAAGCTGTCTACATGACCCAAAACAGTCTGAAGAAATTGAAAACATCCTACAAATGTTTCACAATATTCAGATGCATGGAATCTACCTGTATGGGAAGCAAAGCATCAAGTTGACTGAGTTTTTTGTTGTTTTTTTTTTTTTTTACTTTTCATTTGATATTTATTAGTTCCCTGAGACCATAGAATACTGTCCTCAATGATTTCTGAGTAGGCCAGTAATCAGCAAATTGACTTTAACTAGATTTTTGAAGACAGCAATGATGTTTTCGCAGTAATTTTTTTTTTCTTCTTTTGGCCACTTTGATATTTTTTGAAGACCCATTATTATGATAGAACATTATTTGGTTGTTGCTATGCTGCTGCCTGTGTAGTTTGTTGCTTATGGGATTTCTTCAGGTTTGAAATTTGGGACAAATCTAATACTACTTCAAAATAAAGTGTGTCTTTGGGCAGTTCCTCATTTTTGGCCGAAGGTGGCATCTGAGATTTATCTAAACCAGGAGGTTTCTTGGCCCTCATTTTTCTCTAGACCCAGCAATGACAAAGAGCCATGGCTGCATAAATTGGATGTAAGAAGAACACTTAGGGTTTGTCTCAGAAGAATCAAAGATTTCAGATCTTCTGAAAGATTGTTTGTACTCTTAGGGGGTCCTAAGAGGGGTCAAATGGCTTCTAAGAGTTCCTTAGCTAGATGGTTAAGGGATTGTATTAGGGAGGCGTATGTAGTTAAGGTAAAGAGGCTCCCAGGGTTTGTAAAGCTCATTACACCAGTACTAGAGCTGCGTCTTGGGCAGAGAGGTCGAAGGCTTCCACATTGGAAATTTGCAAGGTGGCCACCTGGGCTTCTCTTCATACTTTTTCATAGCATTATCTCTTGGATCTAGTCTCTTCTACAGATTCTGTGTTTGGTGGGAGGTTGCTTGTGAGCCAGAAAAGAACAGTGGAGAAAAGAAAGACGTAGTTCACACTTCTAGCTGCCAACAAGGCGGGTTGCTTTGTAGTGCACACAATGGGAAGCTATGAAGACCAATTTGGGTGTGAAAGTGTATGTGGCAGAGAAGTACTGCCAACCTCTACTCTCTGTGAAAGAAACTACATTGCAGATACTAGCTAGGGGTGCAAAATGAATCATAGAGAACTCAATGGAAAGGAAAATAAAAGAATTTGTATTTGTATTTTTTGTCATATAGGTGATCCACTGAACTCCTCTGTGGATTTTAATCTAGACATTCTTTTAGATATATTTAAGTTAATTCTACATACATATATCTATGCTACAATAAGCAAAAAATAAGTGACTATATTCTCTCTAAAAAAATTAAGTTGGCTACTATTTTCAATACATTTTCCCTCTTAGATTTGGGAAGCTATATAATTCTACACAGGCCTAATTGAAGTTTATGTGATATACTTGTATTTTGAAAATGCTGATTTAAAAATTTTAGGTATATATAAAAATTCAATTCATTACAATTCAACAAATTCTAAATGGCTACTGTGTGCACAGGCAAGGTACTTTTACCTGAGAATATTTAAAAAAACAAAAAACAAATGGCACAATAGATCATTTTGTTAAGGAGCTTCCATTCTAATGAAATGAATTGGACTTAGCAGAATAACCATGATACAAGGAATATCAACATTAATGCAGAAGTTCTATGAGGAATTGAGGAGCCAGAAAGAAACTTAAGGATATAGAGGGCATATTCTCCATGCAAGGAAAACTGCATGGAGAAACTGCATGGCACCTGAGTTGGACCTTTACATAAAGGGGAGACTTCAACAGATAGGTGGATGGTAGTGAATAGGTTGGCACTAGCAAAGTCATGGAGACTAGAGAGTTCAGGGTGACAATGGGAGAAAGTGTAGGCTGGTTTAACTAAAATATTGGGTATCTGAAGTATGGGAATCATGAGATAAGGTGGGAAGTAGGCTGGAGCTTTCACCATGAAGAAAATGATCTTGGTTTCATCCTTTCCAGTCTTATGTTTAAAAATCATTTTTTTTTCTCTCACGGGATTTGAATTTAAAAAGTAAAGGAAGTACAACTAAGTTCAAGACAGTTTTCTTTTTCTAACCCCTATGAAATGGTCACTGACCACATAAGCCTTAGAAAACCTATTCTTTACTCATCTTGAAGTTAGCAAGATGAGATTTATTTAAGTAAATGTGCCTAGAGGCACAATACTTCAAGTGAACAAAACATATAATGTGTGTGGAGCAAAATGATAAACCTAAGGTAATTATATATGTTTTTTGAAATCATATCTTATAGCTATGTAATAATACTCAATTGCTAGAATGAAATAGTGATGTACGACCTGTTGGAATGTAAGCTCTTTGAAGGCAGGGATTATTTCACTTTTTTGTGTAACACTAACGTATTATGTATGACTGGCCTATAATTGGCATTTAATAAATGTTTGTTGATTAAAATGTTTGAGGAAGTAGCTATATATATTTAATTTTAAGTCCACCTTGGATTAACTAGATTATATAGAATATGACTGCAAGTGTGTTACATTAAGTTGGGCATTGAGAGGGGGCGAAATTTTCAAAATTTGAGCATCTAAAACAAAGGATAGGAAATTTATTTTTTATATGGAAGGAAATCATTACCTTTTCCAGTGCTTTCATTTTTTAAAGGTACTTGTGATAGTTAAAGGTGACATTTATTTTGACATATTAAAGTGGTGAAAATCATTCTCATTTTAAATGTAATACCCTCCAATTTATTTATTTTACAAAAACTGAAATTAATTTTACTCAGTTACCCTTAACTTATTTATTCTTTTTAGAAGTGACTGTGAAGCAATATATAATGGAACTAATGAAAAAAGGAGCTGTACTTTATGCATCAAATATAAAATATAAGTACAATGGAATGTGGATTTCATCATGTTATGTGAAAAGCATTATATGTAACTTGAGTTTCACATTATCATAACAGTAATATTCCACCGTATTTTGCTGAGTTTTTATAAATGATATTGATATATCAGAAAGTGCTATGGGCTTTATATTTTCAACAACATTAATTTTAAGTTGGGTCCTTATTTTTAATATTTTGTAGGAGTTTGGAAGAAACCTAATGGAGAACTTTTAATACAGGACGCTAGAGCAAATGAAACTAGCATACTACCTGAGAAATTGCTGCAGGTAAAAGAGGTAAGTTTGAAAGAACTCCTGGTTATTTGAGTTTTTCCTACATGTCAGCAATATGGTTGGTTGAGGACATTTCTAACTAAATCCCAATTGCCTGAGTTTTATAACTTTCTTGGAAAAAGTAATTTCAGTTTGAAAGTTAACCTACTGAGTCTTTGATTAAAAGATAAGAACTCTTCCCAAGGGGGGAAATTACTTAAATCATACATATATTTCAGCCCAGTGTAGACATTTGCCTCCTTGCCCATTTTGCCTTAGGTGAAAGAATGTTGGGCTCAGAGTTAGGATTGTATGTGTTTTGGGTTAGAAGTTCTGTGTTTGCGGAACAATAAGATTTGTCAAGATGATAGGAATTTAAGCATTATCTGGACGTTAGCTAATTTGAAAATAGAAAAAGCAAAAAGGAAAGAATGAAATGGGAAGTACAAAAAAAAGGGGGGGGTAAAGAATAGTTAGAAATGAACTCTTAGCTGCTATAGGCAAATAATGGCAAGAGAATAATTAAGGTGAAGAGAGTCTATATTAACAGTGTAATGCTCCACTTCAGATCCCCCCTCCTCACCTCCCACTCTCTTGTCCTCTTATTGTCTTCATACTTCTTTCTCTTCACTAGTGATCTCTTTATTGATAAATTCAGTAGCCTTAGTCCTCTTCCTTCTTGATCTCTCTCTGCCGCATTTGACCCTGTTGACCACTCTCTTCCCTCATCTTTTGTGATCTTGCTCCCTCCTGGTTCTCCTCTTACCTCTCTAACAACTCTTGCTCATTCTCCATTGAAGGATCATCTTTCATGTCCCATCCTTTGGGTTGGGATATGCCATAGCGTTCTTCCATAACTTGTCTTCTCTTTTCTTTCTATTCTCTCTTGATGACTTCCTTTGGCATTCTATGCAGATGACTGCCAAATCTATATTTTCATTCAGTCTGAGTCTGGACCTAGACTGTCCCAGTCTGAGCATTGCGGCTCTATGCTGGTTGCTTACCTACTGCCAAGATCCCTGCCCCAATTTCTGACCACCTTGGGACTTTCTTAGTGGAACTCTCTCTACTCTTACAGCTTCTGAACACAGAGCCTAGAAAGCAATATATATCCTATTTCTTATCCAGTTGGAAGGCTACACTGTAGTGGGGCTGGCTTTGCTGGGCTCCCTTTCTTATTTCCTGTTGGCATCTGGCTGAATTTTTGTGCAATTCTGGGGAGGAAGAAGTTTCCGTAGTTTCTCATTAGATATCTTAATCATAATTAAGTTTGGTGGAAACTTAAGTGTTTGCTTGAGTAGGGTTGTGGAAGCTGGGCAGCCTGCCTCCCTTTCAGGCAACCATCTTGACTGGAAGCCCCATCACTCATTTATCAGTCCTTTACAGTCTAGCTTCTTACTTCATCTTGAAACTACTCTCTTCAAAATTGTTAATGATCTTTTCACTGTAAGACCTATTGGGTCGTTTCTCTGTTCTCATGCTTCTAGATCTATCTGGTACATCTGACACTGGTAAACATTCTGTTCTGGATATTCTCTCCTCCCCTAGTTCTCTTCCTTCTTGTCTGATCTCTCCTTCTCAGTATCTAATGCTGATCCATCATCCATAGCATCCTCCTAACTGTGGGTGTTCCTCAAGGCTCGCTCCTAGGTCTACTTCTCTTCTCCTCTTAAGAATAAAAATGTTTTCATCTTATTGTGTTGTATTTTTTCCTGTTTGAATTTGTTTAATTTTTTTAAAGTGGAAGCTATGGATAGTGGCATTTATTTTATAAATGACTTGGCTAGATTGCATTTATTTCATTAGGTGAGCTATATATACACAAGAATTTGTACTCAGTAATGTATTATTCTATAAATGTCTCATTCATGTTCTCTGTTGTACCATGTGTACCATGTTTTCTGTATGAGAATCATATAATTCTATATTAATATTAATATATTATATATATTTGTATTTATATATAATATATATTATACATTATATATAACAATATATATTTTGTTATATGTGTGTGTATACACGTGTGTGTATATACACACACACACACATAATGTATGCTTGCATTGCAACTTTCAAAGTCCCTTCTGCGATACACACATATGTATGTATGTACATCTTTATAAATGTGTATGTATATATATATGTATATATGTTTATAAATTATCGCTCCAAATATTTAATACAGTGATTTGTATGCTGTCCTATTAATGCAATAAATGTTGACTGAATGATACAGCACATAAAAAACCCAAGCAAATTATAGAAATAATAAACCAAAAGAGACTACAATAATAAATTATTCCAGCTCCTTTGTTTTATTACTAATGAGGAAACTAAGTCCTGAGGAGACTAAGTAAGTGGCTCAAGGTCATGTAGCTGTTTAGCAGCAAGGCCAGAACTCAAGCCCAGATCTCCTGACCTAATCCAGCCCTTTTCTACCACCTGAAGCTACCTCACACTTCTTAGCCCTATGACAACTCTGAGACTTTATAAAATGGGGGGGGAAACATTTTAAGCCCACTGCATAGATCATAAAAAATGCAATGGAATTTATTTTGTGTCTTATTTTAGTAGAATTAAAAGTAAGTCTGCCTGTGAGGATGGGAGGTAGATAAGCTAAAGAAAATTCTGAATAAGGCTAAGGAAGGTGCAATAATTTGATTTCTTGGAGTAATTTATGTTTTTAATGGTATTTTTAAAAAATTATAATAATGCAAAGGAAATAAATGATTCAGTATTTAATAGTAACATGTCACAATGTCTGTTAACAGTAAACTATAAAAATAACTCTAAAATTTAATTTAGACTTTATTAAATATATTGAATTTACAGGTTATGTTAGGTGATAAATCAGTGCAGCTTTTGGCTCTCATAGAGATGGTTATTGGACTACATTTAATAAATTAAATTTTGAAAAAAACACTTTTGATTAAGTCTACTGACAACTTAAAATGAAATGTCAGTATATTAATGTTGGTTAAGAATGCATATGTTTTTGTCTATTATATTATACTATATTCTCAAGGTAATATTTTCAAGGTTATAAGAATAGTTTTCATAGTACAAATAAAGAATATCTATATCCAACTTGCATAACAGAAGCCATAATTTTACATCTGTAACAATAAAAATATTCATTGTGGAGTTAAGTTTATGTTATATAAATTTTTATTTCAGTATACTTTACTAGATTTTGGCTGGAGAAGTGCATTTAAAGAGGTGTCTCTTTCGGTGTTACGGTGTTTAACAGTAGCAATGGAAGATCATGCCACTCAAGTTCTCCATCGTGAACAGAATGAAAAATCTTCAGCTGTAAACTATACTATGAGTCTTGTAAACATTCAGTCAGTTTGGGAGCTGTGCAGAGTGACTCCTGAGGAAGACCAACCAAAAAAAATTGCAAAGGCAAGTATCAAGTGATTTAAAATTAGCTGGGAGATGGCAGGAACAGGATGTTATACTCTCCCAACTTTGAAATCCTTATTACAAATATTTCAATATATTTTTCATGGGAAATTTATAAAAAAATAAGTGACATTGCAAGATTGTCTTTGTCTTTAAAATGTTTCTAATTTACTTTTTCATTTTTCAAATTCTGCCTTTTATCTGTTTTTGAAAGATTTGCTCTTCCTCCAGTTATTTTGCCTAATTATGTTATAGCCTGTTTCACAAATTGGCTAAGGTTACAACTTAATTATTAAAAAGTTTTCACGTATTTTTATTGGAGAAAAAGATTTTATTGATCTTTATTTTTTTTTGAAAACCACTTATCCTCTGGTCTTGTATTGCCTTTGATTATCAATTACTATGCATTATATAAGGGAAGAGAACATAAAATTTAGTACAATGATTATAGTTTCACAAAGTTTTATAGAATAGGTAGTGGAGAATTTAGGAGTAAGACCCTAATATGTTCCACAAAAACTCTTTTCTACTTGTGAATGCCTGACAGTGGAATGACTTCTCAGGCCTGTCCCTGCGTTTATAGGGAGATGCTTGCTTTTTACTTTATTCATAATAGGGAGGTAGGAACACAAGTTTTTGCATACATATGTTAGAAACATGGCTGGCTGCCATATGTGAATATCATCATTTGTTACTCAATCTTTAATGTTTACAAGAGTTTTAAGAAGTATAGATAGAGAATATTATGTAAAAAAGAAGTAATTACACTAATAACCAAATACAAACTATAGTGTTCACAGAAGAAGCAATTGAGGACAGAACCACTGGTTTTCCTTACCATTATAATCTCTTTAAAAAGAGAACTGTTGAAGATCATCTGCTCTATCTATTTTAGGGAAGCATTCCTTACTTGGACCTCTGCCAAAATCTTCATCAGGCAGCCTTAAACCACAGCCAGTTTTAGAGGATTGGCCCTTGGACAGCTCCCCTTACCCCTCTAACCTTGAGAAAGGATGAATGAAGTCAGGGAATACCACCTCTATGACCCCTTATCTGTAATCTATAAGCAGATCTTAAATACATGCGCTATTGCTATTTTAAAATTATTTGAACTGACCTGACATATATAGTTGATGGATATGTCAAAAAACATTAATCTGTTAGATATAGTTAAATATTCAAGAAAGTTGATTGGAACATGATATAATATTATTAGAATAATTTAGGAGATAATGCAGATAAATATCTAGTATGCTTATTTTCTCTGCAGGATGTCTCTAAAGCTTTAGTCTAGTTTTAACCTTTAACAAATTCATAAATATAAATGCTATAAACTCATGAAAAAATTGGAAAATTATTTTAAATTTTAAAGTATTGATGTTTTATATTAAAATTCAATAAAATCACTATACATCATTCTATTTGGTTTCTGAACCTAAAAAAAACTTTCATCAACTGCTGCTCAGTGACTCAGTTGTACTTGTTAAAATCATCCAAAGATGAGATTTTGGTGTGTACATAATAATTTTGATGTAATCCAAAAGAAAAGTGTAATTGAGGTAAATCAGGTGGGCAAGCAAGAGGACCTCTCCTGCTGATCCACCTGTCTTGAAAAAATGTCATCCAGAAACTGTTGTACACATAATACAGAATGACAAGTTATCTTATTAAAATTTTAAACATTTTTTACTCACAATTCAGAAAGCTAATTCAATAATTTTTAAATGATGTGGGACTTTTTTTATAAGTTTGTATCATTTATTTACACTTCTGAAGTTGTTAAAGCTTAAAACTGTGCTAAGGCTGTGTGCTTTACTACTTCATGGCTACGTGACTTAATTAGTAATGCATGCAGAGGTAACTCCTCCACATTTAAAGGGAAGGATTCATGCATTTTTTTGGCTAAAAAAACCCCCAAAACCTCTTTTCCTTTTCCATCCTCACATCCCTTCCTATCTTCAGTGGTATGGAGAGTCTCCAAGGTATGGATGAACTCAAAGTAGGGATCAGGGATATAGGAGGTACAAGGCTCTGACATTAAAATGTGTTATTGGAAGGTTGGTCACCTCTTACAAAGGGACATTGCTGATGAATCAAGTAATACTTGGTGATGTCGATATGAAGGTGGACATAGGAAAGAAATTGGCAGAAAATTTTACTTGGGACTAGGAAGAGTCCAGAGGCTTATCTATTATTCAGAACCTGCATGTATGTATGTCATAAACATTATCTTCCAGAAAAGAGTTGGAAGATGCTAGAGACAGAGGGTACCAAAAACCATAGAAAAAAATGAAATCATTATATTTTAACAGACAAGAGTCAGGTGGTAACTAATATGGGAATCATTTCACAATTAGCTGTGTGTATGTAGTCAGATTTATTGGTTAGAGTAAAGGTCAAAAGCAATGCCAAATTAAAAGACATGGTAAAGATAAGAAAACCATTTATCCTCTGGTCTTGTATTGCCTTTGATTATCAATTGCTATGCATTATATAAGGGAAGAGAACATAAAATTTAGTACAATGATTATAATTTCACAAAGTTTTGTAGAATAGGTAGTGGAGAATTTAGGAGTAAGACCCTAATATGTTCCACAAAAACTCTTTTCTACTTGTGAATGCCTGACAGTGGAATGACTTCTCAGGCCTGTCCCTGCCTGAAATTAACTATACCAACTCTAAAATGAAGTATTTAAATGAGTTGTTGATGCTAAAAAGTGGAAAGTGGATAAAAGTAATGGCATTGACTTTGATAATCAACATTTCTTTAAAAAGTTTGATAAAAAAAATAACACAAAGAGGAGGCCAAGAGAGCCTAAAAATTTCTTCATCCAGTAAATACCATATTGCTTTGTAAATTCTTCCCAATGCTTATTTAGTAAGTGTAATATATTAATATTTTATGTATGTATAATCCTCCTCCTCACTCTGGTTCACTGTGGGTAGAGGAGAAAGGGGGAAGGAGCCATGGGGCCCTTGTTTCAGGTTGGCCCACCCCTAAAAGCTTCCAAAGTTGGGCATGCCCACAAATCTTACAATATGAATAAAGCCAGAGATGGGAAAGAAGATTGACCCAGGACCTGAAGTGACCGAGGTAGGTATCAGTCAGCATGCAAGCTTTGGGGAAAAGAAAATGCAAGGATGAGAGAAGGATGAGAGAAAGGTCTGGGAGGAGGTTTTTTCCATGTCAGGGCCTAAACTTGGGTCTACTGCACTTCTCTCTTAGCTGATGAGCCAGCTGCTGCAGGGATCAATTGGAGGACCTAGTTAGCGACAGAGAAGGGATCGAATAAAAGCATCCAAATGTGTCTTTGCTCTCAATTTTACTTGACTAATTATACAAAGTAGAACAGCATTAGACATATTTGCTAGCTCATAGTGGTTAGCTAAGCAGTATTATCTGTATTGGAGGCAGTTAGGTGGCTCAGTGGATAGAACCCTGGGCCTGGAGTCAGGAAGACCTGAGTTTGAATCCAGCCTCAATCACTTACTAGCTGTGTGACCCTGGGCAAATCACTTAACCCTCTTTGCCTCAGTTTCCTCATCTGTAATATGACATGGAGAAGGAAATGGCAAACTACTCCGGTATCTATGCTGAGAAAATCTCAAGTAGGGTCATTGAGTCCTGATTGAACCTGAATAGCAATAAATATTATCTCTATTCCTGATCCAGTACAATGATAAGGACCTAGTGTTGTCATTCCCACACTAATCCTAATAATTATGTGTTCCAACTACCAGCAAAGAGCACTTGGGGAAAACAAGAAGTGCTGTAGTTCTCTGAGACCTGGATACCTCTGCACTCTGTTCCTGGTCTTTCCGATCTTATTAGTCTGTGGATATTTATCCAAATCGTCTCTTGGCTTGGTCGCCTACACCAGAAAAACTCACCTTCCCTAGGAAGTCACCCTAGCATAGCCTAATAATTATGAGTCAATCAGGTAAATGTGGCTTGATGCTATACAGTTCTTTACAACAGGCCATACATTCATACCTATCAAGAAAACATGATTAATAAAATCATACATGTTCAGAAAAGCACCATCTGTGCCATGTGTCTGTCTTAATGTAGGGAGGTGTGAGATTCCAAGGTACAGTGCAAGGAAGGGAAGATCACCACAACACAGAACAGGAGGAGATAGACGGAGGCAAGCAGAGAGACAGCAAACCAGGCTAAGCCTTACTGAGAGAGATGCAGTCAGGGAGGAGGGAGGTCAGAGAAGATGGGAACTCATCAGTCCCCTCTGGGACCCCTGGTGGAAAAGGGGCAGAATGTCAAAACCAGAAGAGAGCAGGTGACTTCTTAATAGCTTTTATAACTGGGTCAGGCAGACCCAGACTCCAAGACATTGGGAAGAGAGAGCAGGGAGCCTGGAGCTGGTGTGCAGATCTATAGTTCATATTCAGTCTCTGTGCTTTCAGCCATTGTTGCGGGCCTTACGTTGTCTGACCTAGGGGTGACTACCTTGAGACTCCCCTCAGCTTCTTCATTTAGAGGGGCAGAGAGGCTACTGAAGTTCGTATGGCATGCCAGGCTCCTTCCAGGCAAAAACATCCCTGAGCCATTCTGTTTGTATTTCCTAAACCCAAGAGGACTTCCAGGCCCCCGGTTATTTTTGGGTTTATATTTTATTTTTATTTATCATTATTCTGAAAACTTAAGAAATACCAAATAAAATGGGCATTTCTATATACAAAGTAGAATAGAAAAAGATGATTATACATAAATCTGTGAATCACTATTAATTACTTTGCTTTTCCTTTTAAATTTAAGTGTGGATATGTTGTTGTTTAGTAATTTTCAGTAGTGTCCAACTCTTCATGACCCCATTTGGGGTTTTCTTGGCAAAGATACTGGAGTGGTTTGCCATTTCCCTCTCTAGATCATTTTACAGACAAGGAAACTGAGGCAAACAGGGTTAAGTTATTTGCCCAGGGTCATACAGCTAGTAAGGATCTCAGGCCAAATCTGAACTCAGGTCTTCTTGATTCTAGGCCTCACATTCTGTCTACTGTGCCACCGGGCTTCCTCTAGTATAGATGTAATAAATCTAAATATAATAACATATATTTTATAATTTGCAAAGCTGTCCTGCTTGTCTGCTTCCTTCTGGTCTTCCTCCTTTTCTGTTCAATCAGGAATGACAGTTCAAATGCTCACCACTTGCTGCTTCTAGCTAGCAAGCCTTCCCAGTTCTGTGAGGTTTACACATACCTATAGGAGGCAGTATTTAATCAACTGAAGGAATTCAGGATGTTGGGTACCACTTTCTCCTCTGGCTCACTTTTCCAGTGCTCAGCATTGTCACTGGCTGCAAATCTGCCTATGAGCCGATTGTTAGCATAGCCGGCTCATCCAGTAATTCCAGTCATTCCTTACAGTTTATAGAACACTAACAGGACAGTGCAGTGTACTCAAGGGCAGGCCCTAGCCCTGAAAGGAACTCTTCACATAACAGTTATTTCTCTCTGCCCTAGAAGTTTCTCTTCAACAAAGATTCAGAGCTGGTTTAGTCAAATGTCACTTCATGCCTGGGACAATGTCCTCTCCCATTCTTCAGCTCTTTTCTTATTATAAGTATTGTGGATGCACCCATTTTTAAGGAACTTTATGGGTTGAGTCAGGGATATTATGGCTCCTTTTTTTTTTCTTTCTAGGGAAATGAGAGTGAGGAAGGGGTTACTTATAGAGAAGCATTATTTGGCATTTCATCCTTTGAAATAAAAGTTTTGTCTCCTCTTACTGAGGAGTAAATCACTGTAAAACTGAGTCAACATATTTGTTTTTGATTGTAAATTCATTATTGAGGAATTTGCCATAATGTTCATAAGTTACCCAGTGTTGACAGTACACAAATAACTCAATGCCACATTTATTTCTTTCCTAGTTTTGTTCTGACATCATGGAAGAAGTTGACATGATGCTTCCCCTCGCTCTCACATGCAGGGATGGTTCATTTCAGGAAATTAGAGCAAACTTTGTGGAGGCCTGTTGCAAAGTAGCAACAGCTGTCCTGGCAAGGTTGGAAGAGAGAAGCAAGGAAGTTCCTTCCAAAATACCCTTGCAAAATTTATATACTCTTCTCGCTACAGCAATATTTGTCCTTCAGCATTTTATGCACTATGATGATTTGATGAAAGAAACAAGTAAGAAGTAAGTATCATTTAAAGTTAATAGTGTAAAAATTTTATTTCATCTTTTAATATCATGATGACATCTGAGAATTAGTTAATAATCACAATGCAGTTTTCATCTATTTTTTAAATACCTAAAGAAAAGCTGTGGAATGTGTGAAACAATATACACAGATTTTGGAAGTTTTCCTTTAAGAGACCCTATGTTCTTTAAATACAGACATAGGACAGTTGTTTTCTTTTTTTTTTTTTAATGAAAGTCTGCTAAAGAAAGAAATGCTTAGAATTTGAACAAGGGATTTTGCATAGGGGTATGAATTACACCTGTAAAATTTTTTTTTGCCAACTTAGTGATTCAAGTTTATGTAGAAAATTAATTTGAACCTGTTTAGTGATTAATGTAGACATACACTGGAACAACGATTTATTATACTAATAGTATTATCTATGATATTTGAAGAATCTGATATTAATTTTTCTATTATGAGGAGAATGAAAATATTATTTATGTGGGTAATTTTCTACTTATAAATAGTTTTCTAAAAGTTAATTTATAAGTTTGAGAAGTCAGTTTTGGCGGTGAGGGGTTTGAGGAAGGGAAAAGGACAGAGAGGATGGAACATCCAGGGAAGAGTTTCTCATCCACTATCCTTCTGTTTCCTTCCCTCTTACCACCACTAACTTTGACATCACAACTGTTGCCAGACTTTCCTTGGGTTGAATGAGAGAGGTAAGGTTAAGGATAGGGTCAGAGGGCAGTCTCAGGAAGAAACTGGGAAGAAAATCCCAAATAGCAAAAGGGAGAAAGGAAAGGAAGATACTGTGGTAACTTGTTATTCCTGGTTGGTAATTTTAACATTTGAGGCACCTGTAAATCAAGGGCTGCTTACACTTGTTATAGAGAAAAAACCAGAGCTATAAGTAGAAATTTTGGTGCCTGGGGTGAATAACACAAAACATTCCCCCAGGATAAAGAGCATGAAAGGTTCCTTAAATCAGCTTTTTAAGACAAGTTCAACTTGGGAGATAGGGGAATATCAAAACTCAGAACACAAGTCCCTGTTGGAGGAAAGACCTTGAGATACTACCCTATGGGGAAGAGGTGATGATCCTAACATTCTGGCAAGGTCCCTGATAAAGAAGCTTCCATTAGGCTAGCAAGCAACTTGGTCTGGGCCTCCTGAAATGCTATTGCTAGTAGGAAAAAGCGCTATCTTAACTTTATTATTTTTGCTAACTACATACTAAGTTCAGTTATTTTTACTTGCTGGAGTAGTACAAATGCTACCAGCTCCCTTAAATTTTGGTGCAAAGTTTAATTCACCAGTCCTCTGCTTATAGCTCTACCATTCACACACGTATGCACTAGAAGTAATGTTTCTTCTTACTATAAAGGAAAATGATGTGGAAAGAAGTAGCTGAAAAAGACATAAAATAATTATTATACATTGTAGTTAATTTTATTTCTTTAAATTCTCAAATATAATGATTCATAGTTGAATTTATTTTTAAAGTATCAGAAATCACTGTTTTCACTGATTTTCAAAGCAGTTTATAAGATACTGTCTACATAACTAAAATTTAAAGGTTTAAAAAGTACATAGTGGAAAGACACAGGGTATTTTTGTAAAAGATACTTCTGGGAGCAGCTTGGTGGCACAGTGGATACAGCACTGGCCCTGGAGTCAGGAGGACCTGAGTTCAAATGTGACCGCAGACATATGACACTTACTAGCTGTGTAACCCTAGGCAAGTCACTTAGCCCCAATTGCCTCACCAAAAAGCCAAATAAATAAATAAATAAACAAACAAACAAACCAATAAATGAAAATGAGTAAAAAAAAGATACTTCTAAAAAATGCATGTTGTTCTGTAGTGACTGCAATAAGGTAGAGCATCCAATGAAGGATCATTACGATAGTGATAGCTCTTGTGTTCATTTCATTAAAGGATCAGTTAAAGGAACTGGGCATTTTTAACCTAGAGAAGAAAATACTCAGGGATAGAATGGCTGTTTTCAGCTATCTGAAATGTGGTAAGGCAGAAGAAGGATAGACCTTTTCTATTAAGCTCTTGAGGAAAGAAACAAGAGTAATGGGTGGTAGGTGCAAAGAAATAAACTTAATTTTGAGGTCAGGAAAAATTTTTCTGATAATTTGAGGTATTCAGAAGTGGGGTGAGTTCTCTTAGTAAGTAGTGAGTTTCCTATCATTGGAGATTTCCAAGGGGAGGCTGAATGAGTCGGAAATGTTATAGTGAAAGAATTAAATAGTTGTCAAAGTCCCTTCCTGCTATGAAGTTCTGTATCAGTTGCCTAGGTAATGTACTGATCTTTGAAACAGGCTTACAATGAATAATTTTATTTATGAATGACCTATGGACAATGAAATTTGTCTAAAGCTAAAGATCATATTTGTAGAATATCAGATGTACAATATTCAAAGAACTGGCAAAACAAAGACCAGCTGTGTGTGTGTGTGTGTGTGTGTGTGTGTGTGTGTGAGTGTATGAAGACAGTCAATATAGGCTTTAGTACTCCAGCGCTGAGAAGAAATGAATGATTGATATCTAATAATCAAAACCATTTGTAGTTCTGAAGATTGATACCTCCTGCTGCACAGGCCTTAAATCTCTGTATCTTTGATCATTTCCCTCCGAGTAGACCTCTGTTCCTAGCACCTGTCCAACGATATCAGGAACTCATCAGTGCTCTGCAGTTTCAAGTTACGGACTACTGCGTCAGAGTGTGTGCCATGAGCATTTTACAGGATGCAGAGAGCCACCACTGGGATGACTGCAAAGCTTTTTATGAGGTGTGAAGTTAAGTTTACTGTTCTTCCTTTTTTACACAAATATGTTTGACTGCCTACCTGCTTTATGACTAATTAAAAACATAATATTGGTATTACTTGAACACAAGGACTGTTAGAATAATATTTTTTAAATATTGGATTTATACTTAGAAAAACATAGTTCCTAAAATTATGGAATAATTAGACCTAAGTACTCTCCTTCTGCTTGAAATAAAAATATCATAATTTGAGCTAGAATACTGCAATGCTATATATCAAGAAGGAAAGTAATTGAACATAGAGAAAAAGATGATGATGCCAAGACAAATGCAACATTCATGTTTTCTGAGGTACTGATGATAGGAAGTGCTTCATTTTTTTTTTGTTATTTTCCTCATCCACTCAGTGTCTGTCCAGGATATATGAACTGATGTATAGATTGTCCCTCTAACTACATCAGAGTCTGAACAATAGGCATTTTTTATCCATTTGGTTTTTCTCGTACCAAATTATTCATTGGTAATATATTACAGTGCACTCCCACCCGCTGTGCACTTCCTGTTGCCCTTCAGGTGACCCTCAACCTTTATTTTTGGAGACTGTGGTATTCCACGACATGTAGCTATAGAGTATCAGTATAATTTTTTACATAGACCACTGTTTCTAAGGAGAAGGTTGGGAGCACATTAGAAGCAGCAAATGGTTTCCCCCAAAATATCTCCCTCCTGTTTAATTCTGGGCACAACTCATTGTCCATGCACATTTTCTACACATTGTTCACCTTGGTGCTGATCATAGTTGAGAGACCATGTGATCTGGGGAGTCAGGAAAGCCTGATTTCAAATCCTACCTTAAACTTAATTCTAACTACATGACCCTGGACAACCCACACAACCTCAGTTTCCTCACACCTAAAATGCAGATTAAGAAAGCACTTGCACCACAGAACTGCCATGAGGGATAAAATGAGATCATGCATCTCAAGTGTTTTTCAAGCCTTAAAAGGCTATATAAATATCAGCTACTATTTATGGTTGTTGTTGTTAATAATACTAATTGTTCTCCTTATACTTTTTTCCTCATCTTTGGCTAGAAACAGTCCTGAGGCAAGACACTGCCCTACTATTGTTATTCTCCTCATATTACATCTTGCAGTGATGCATTGAGTTTCTATAATTACCATGCATAATCTACATTGATCACCAAAATGAGGCTCCTTAAGGATAACCTTTCTATAAACTCTGATGGTGATGACCTGGGCCAGAATTGCCACCATAAATGCTCTCATTTCCATAAACGAATCTGTGTAACTCAGCTATTTTTGAGACCCCTTTGTTGACATTTTGTTGGCTGATGTCTCCCATGGAGACCCTATGGAGTCTGCTCTTGGATGATAGCTGCTCCATAGAATTCATTCAGAGGTAAACCATGTTGGGTTACATTCAGCAAATCCAGCGGCCTGTGCCTATTTTCAGCCTTTACTGTTGGTCAGTGAAGTGATGTCCTTGTGTGCCAAGGTCTTTGGGTTTTCCTTGTGTTGGTCTTCATGTAACCATGTGACCAACCAGAACTTTTCCACATTATCCTTCTTCAGGGGTTCTCTGCCCTAACTTATTTGTTTCTCAGGCCTTAGCAATCAAGTTTGGGTTGAGGTTAAAAGGTTTATTTTTTTTTTCCTTTGCTCTGACTCCATGTATCACCTGAACCTTTTGGCATTTGCTTTCAGTTGCTGATTAAGGGTACCTTAGGGATCATAGGTTTTCTTCTATACTTTTCATGAGGCAGCAGGCTGTGCTCCTGAGCAAGGCCACCTGAGTGGCTGAGCACCTGCTGAGCAGGGAGTAAAACTTCCTATTTCCTCCCCTTTCCTTTTGTGTAGGCAAGATTTTATTTCAAGGTACTCTTCCCAGAAGGGCGGAGCTTTCTTTTAAAACAGTGGTGGTCCCAACATGGCAGCTGCTGGTGGCTTGAAAGTGAAAGTCGGTTTACCCACACTTTGCTTGTAGCCTGGGGTTTCTTATCAGTTTGTGTCTCAGAAGTAATCTGACTTTAAGTATGATTCTCTGTCTCCTTCCACAGTTCTGTACTCTCAAAATATACAGTTCACTTCAGCCAGTTTATAGTGAAAAATCTGAACTGGGTTTTTAGAACTTCGGTATTGTTTCTCTTCTGAGTTTGGCCTCCCTCTGTTCCCAGTCTCAATGTTAACTAATAACCCTACTAACTGAACTAATCTTAGCTAACTAAAATAATTCTACCGAGAAATCCCTTAAAGAAATATCATTAACAGAAATGGCAATGTTAAGAGCAGTCACAGCCATACACTCATAAAAGAGGAAAAGGAGAAAGATGTCCTCTTTACGTACAGCCCTGGGACTGAGACAGGAAGAACAATGCAGGTTTTGCCCCAGGCATAGTTTGTATTTCTGCCGTTCTCATTACCTTGGTTTAGGACTCCCTTAAATTGCTTGCTGCCGTTACATCCACCTACTATGCTATCTCCTTTCCCCTTATTTGCTTCTTTGCATCTCACTGACGACCTATATTCCATCTTTCCTACCCCAAAACCTCACTAGCTCAAAGTCAAGGTCAGTGGCTCTTTGTGTAGTTTGCCATAATGTTGAATCCCCTGGGAGTTTAGGGAATTTTGGTAAGGTGTCTGACCCACCTGCAGACATCCCTAACTCTGTTTGCTCTATGTCTGAGCATTTTAACAAAACTCAGAAAAATGAGCTATATTCCATTTTGTGAATTCCCTTCTGTATGTTTCTTTGTTTTTGTTAGCTTTAATTAGGAAATTCTGTACTTCTTACTGGAAGTTTACTTGGAAACAGCCTGGTAGCTCAATTTTCTTTCTAAAATGGTTAGCTTGTTTTGCTTGTGATTTTTCTCTATTCAATTATACCTTCTTTTAGAGACCCTTCTCTCACTTTCCACCTATTTCCCTGTATTTTTTACATCAAAATGTGTGAGTAGTCCTTATAACAGTGATGTTTCTGAGATGCTTGATTTCTTCCCTCCCACCTCCATTATTATGTGTTCTTCTGGCAGACCCCAATTATGAAAAGAATAAGTTCTTCCCCCTAATGTATTCCTTCCGTCCCTCTTTTTCTTTTGTCTCATAAAACCAACAAATTAGAACAAACCACACTCAAGTTCTATGTTTCTCCTTCTTTACTTTCTGTCGACCTTTGAAGAAAGTGGCGTTCTAAATACATTGTTTCTTCTTCCCATGTTAGAAAAAATTTGCTCATCATTTCACCCGTGTTGCTGTCTCCAGTGTTTGAATTTCAAAGATTCCACCCATTTCTGGCCCTTATGTGTGCAATGCTTGAATTTCCTCTATTCTTTCTTTAGGATTATATTGAGTTTTTCAGGATAAATTTATTTTGGGCTGCAAGACCTTTTTCTTTTATCTTTTGGTATATCATATTCCAAGATTTCCTTTCCTTTACCATAATTGTAACATAGTCTCTGTGATCCTTATTGTAGTGTCTTGGTACTTGAACTTTTCCTTTTTGGCTGCTTACAGTATTTTTTTCTTTGACCTGGAATGCCTAGATTTTAGCTATGGTATTTCTGGGTCTTTTCAACTTGGGATCTCTTTTGGGAATGACCAGTGGATTATTTATATTTTTACTTTGTTCTTTGGTTTTAATAGTTTGGGGCAATTTTATTTTATGGTTTCTTAATACAGTGATCCATATTCTTTCTTCAGGCGATTTTTTAGGAAGTATGATATTTCTTAAATTGTTTTTCCTTGATTTGTTCTGTCAGTTGTTTTTGGTTTCTCACATGTTCTAATTTTTTTTAGTCATTTGACTTTGTTCTAATATTTCTTGTTGTCTCATGTTTTGTGTGCTCCATTTCTGTATTTTTTTGGAGGTAGCCTCTTCTTGGGTAAAATTCTCTACTTTTTAAATTAAGTATTTATTCTTTGATTTTTTTTTCCTGAGGTGCTCTTAATTTCATTTTTTATCTCATTTTTTGAATTGACTTTTAGAGTCCTTGTGGCTTAATGGAATACTTTAATCTTAAAACTATGTTCTGAATTATACAGGCCATTTGCTAGCTTCTCAAAGTAATGTTTATTGTTTAGTTAAGAATTAATTCTCTTTATATCTTCACAATATATAAACCTCTTGAACTTTTCTTTAACCTGAATTATTTTATTGTTGTTATTATTGTTTTATTAGGAATTTTCTTCTGCTTATTCATGTCTGTAGCCTCAGATCCTACTTTCAGATTTTGTGCCAGGTCCAGGCTCTATCCCAACCAATACTTTTGAATAGACTGTTGAGGCCTTGGTTGTCCCCAGTACAATACAAATGCTACTGCTATTTACTTACTACACTCCTAAATGTGGTAGATAGATTCTGATCCCCTATCTGGATCTCTTTTGCCGCTTTGGCTGGGACAGGGAGCTGGGACCAAACCCAACTCTCTGTAACAATCTTTGATTTCAATATCTGTCTCCTTGCTTCTCTCTGCAGGTGTTGCCCCATTGCTGTCTCCTTGTGAGATCATCTACCAAGGGCTGGCTTTGTCCTCTGTTGGTGCTCCATCAGGCCCAAAATGGATTTTAGAAACCATTTTGAAGGGCTCTGAAGCAAATGCCAACCTGGCACCTCCATCCTGTCTCTTCCTCTTTGAGTAGGCACCTACCTTCAGAACCTTTACAGAAACTGTAGAATTGTCTGTGTTCTTTGGTATGGCCCTGACCAGCTGTAAGACCAGATATGAGAGATTATGCTAACTTCCAGCTTCTGGAACATCCCAGAGGAGTACGCTTCCTGAGACACTTCAGTTCCTCTTTTTCTTTGCATGGTCACCTACTAGAAGCTGGCTTTGTCCTCTGCTGCAGTACTGGCAAAATATTAGGATTGTGCTGGCCTTCAAACTACATGGCTTCAGGGCTGCCTGGTGTTTCCATGACCAGAAAGCTCATGGCTTCTGGGTATCATCTTATCCTAGATGGATGGACTAAGTGGTATTTCTGTTTTGATCTCATTGAATGTTTG